CATGTTCACTTCATCCAATCTGACCCTCTTTGAAAAAAGTTTGGACACCCCTGGTCTATGCGGAAGTGTGCCTCAAGCAAACATTCACTTATGTCTATAAGCACCTTTATGAGTCATAGAGCCTGCAACACTGCATAGTCAGGCAGGTGACAACATCAACACTAAACAATATTCTCCAAAAATAATCAATACACATCCACTACTTAATGGTTCTGTAATCTATTTTCCATGAAACCACTTCTTATTGTGCTTTTCTGTCTCCTTGTAACTTCTTCCCATTGTTTGGAATGAGCAGTAAACGTTGGTTATGGCCATGTGCACTGCTCTATGCACACTACAAAGCCCATAGTCCACAGTCCATAGTCCATCTTGGGAGCATGCGAGAGAGGGTGGTTATGTTCCTACATACAGTGGAACTATGGAGAATGAACATAGCCACCCTCCAGGAAGTCGGATCACAGCAAAAAAAAAAAAAAAAAAAAAAAAATGTTTTGAGATTTGGAGGAGGCTGAGAGCAACAGAACGATAGGACTACACACTTGAATAGATTTGTTTTTACACCAGAGTTTAGTGTCCCTTTAATTCCAGGTCCAGCAGCCTACTGTGTCAATTAGACAATGAATCAGCATCATCACACTAGTTATTTATTGTCCATTGAAAAGACAGGAGAAATAGAAAGACATAAGGCCTCGATCACACCATACATGCAGAAAAACTGATGGAAACTGACATGCAGATTTCACTTGCAGAGACATCAGTTTACATCAGTTCATAAACACTTCAATGATTTGTATATACCTTGCAGATTCCTGCATGCTTCAGTGATTTTTTTATACTATGCAGATTCCTGCACAGAAAAAATCTGCATGTGATACTAATGTTGTGGTGTGAACAGGGCACAGAGAACAATTGATTTTGTTGTGCCCTTGCAGAACGCCTGCAGAAAAACTGACGTCTCTGGACCATGGTGCAAGCCCTAAAGCTGAAACCAGAAAAAGTGGATTTGCCTCTCTTGACTATGGAGTACAAATTCTTTTACAGATTCCAACTGTATATTTACATGTTAGGATGGAGATTTGCATTTTTGTTAGTTTTGAATAGAGTGGGAAATGGTTAAAATGCCATCAGAAGTTTGTATTTGTTCCTTTTTGCCTAAGGGAAGATTTTGCCTTACTTCCCCCTCTGGAGAGAAAACAGGAAGTGAATAAATGTTTTGCCAAGGTGAAGAGAAATGCTCTGGGAAAATGCACCATGGTATGAACGAGCCCTAAATCTGGTGGCTGCATTAGCTTTCTTTTTTTAAGTTTTTTTCCCCTTCATTTGTCCTGCTGATCTGGCCATTAAGTCTGCTATTTTTCAACTCTCTTTAGCTTAAAAAGCTGTGCAGCAAACGTGGCAGTTAGAGGGTCGAGACCAATTTTTTAAAGTGGAGCTAAAGTCTACTGATACTGATGTAGCACCTTTCTAGCATAGGAAGCTAGGTAGACATGTGCAATTTATTTAGTTACGAATCAAAATGCGGACCAAATTTTTGTTATTCAGAAATGTGGATATATATTCAAATTTTCAAATCACAAAAGTAACAAATTAAAATGAAACCTAAATAAATTACAATGAAATACTGTAGCAAAATAACTAATTATCCAAATTCAAAAATGAATTTTACTTCAAAATGGAAACATATGTTTCTGAATATACAAAACAAAATCTAAATACACGAAACAAATTCCAAAAACAAACCATTCTAACATAATGAATATGACGAAACAAAATAATTCACTTAATGAACGAATCCGAAACTAAACAAAATTTTCTGTCTTTCACATCTCTAATGCTAGGGAGCAGAGATTGCTTGGTCTGGTCTGTTTGGAGTTTCACAGGCTGGAAGTTTGATTGTTTCCCCTGTCTCTGGAAGAAGTTTCTAGAGTTTAGGAAGGGGAAATTCAAATAACCAGCCCGAATATTGATCAGGGCCTAGTCAATCACTAGAGAAGTGTGCCCAGATGGTGGTTGGGAAGCTGATAAATAGTCTGGACCCATGGAGAGAGGGTCTTTCCCAAGTAAGGAGAGTTTCAAGTCTAGGGGGGCTATTGCACCTGATGCAGCCTGTGGACTGTGTTGCTGTTCTGTGAGATCTCAGCGGTGGCAGAGTTGGGACCTGGAAGTGATCTGGAATTGACAGCAGGAATTCTGTTCTAGCGAAAGACTGCCTCACTCACTGGATTGTGTCCAGAAGAAGCTGGAAGGTGGCAGCTGTTCTAGAGACTGATGATAATGACCCTGACCTGATTCCTGGTGACTGTGTGCTGTTGGGATATACGTTTTAGAGGTTGCTTAGATTGAGACTGCTCTCACAGGGTCACAGATACTGGCCATTCCCCATCCTCAGTAGTGTCCTGGACTGTGAGCTTATCGAAGAGTGTCCTCCTGTATTGTGCCATGTACCTGAGATTGCACTGGGTACCAATGGATGTGCAGGGTAACCAGATGGCATGCCAGCTGTGATGCCTTAGACTGTGCAATATTCCCAGTTACTCAAGGAGAAAACTGTCCTCTCACAGCCAATTGCTAACAATTTTGGAGCATAACACTTCTCCAACCCCTCTCCTGTTACAAATTGTATCAGCAATAAATCACAAAAAGATAACCCCTAGACTGTTTATTGGAGCTGGAGTGAATAGACTGTTGCTTGGGTGGCTGGTAGCCTCTGTGCTGCTTGGGGGAGAACCAGTTCAAATCATCAGCACTACTCTTTCCTTTGGCTTTTATGATCCAAGGTCCTTCACTGGTGTCAGCATCTTCTACCTGGCTTCTTTCAGGTGCCGGGGGGGAGCTGTCTTCATTGGTTGGTGTGGCATGATGTCACTCCTGCACCTGCCATGGGGTGAAGTCACCCTGGTAGACAGAATCTGTGCCGGTGTACATTCTAAAGAAGACTGTGAGCAGGCAGGTAGGCTCTGATGAAGAAGGGACACCCTTCGAAATGCGTCAGCTGTACTGAATATCCATCCCCTTGACAGGATTCGCGCTGTCTTCAAGTCCCTTTGAGGACTTAGATGCCTGATTTTTTTTGCTGTTTGTGAGTATATTTTTATAATCAATAAATTTTGGTTACTGAGGTAATGCGCAAGGTTGGTGCGCTTCTCGTTTTCATTTCGTTCTGAGGCAGGTAGGCTTTTTTTACTGCAGAAGAGACATTTTAACTAATTCCAGTCCAGGCCAATTGGTGTTCCAGTTTTTATGGTGGGTGTTCCAGTTTTTATGTCACATGAAATTTGTGCAGCAGTTTATCAAATGCAAATTTTCATGAAAAAATACACTTTTAAAAAATTTTAGTGCACACAAAGACAATATAATACCCGATTTCTTCATAAAATGTAAAGGATGCTTTTATGTCAAGTAAATAGATACAACATCCCATAGCATAGGCAGCAACAGGTTCTCTTTATGGAGAGATCTGGGGTCTAACAGACCTCTTTATTGCTTTATTAGCCAGTAATGGCTTGTAAATAAACATACCAAAACCGGAAGTGACAAAATCTTTCTCACTTCCAGTTTCTGACATCACAGAGGAGGATTTACAATGGAAGTTTCTCCCGGTCTTCCCAGTGCATCTGATGTGAAAGGTATTATAGGTCCTGGGCTCTTCTGTTCCAAAAGTGGCAGGCAGCGGTAGGAGGAGGGGGACCCCCTTCTGCCACCTGTAAAAGTGATTGGGTGGTGCCTGTAGAGCTGCTTGGGTCACTTTTACAGTAAAGCACATCGCCTGCTCTAAAGAATGATACCAGGATCATGATCCTGATATACCTGCTTACCAGGGGCAGACTGACAACTCATGGGGCCCCCGGGCAATAGGGGATCATGGGGCCCCTGTGTCCTTGCCAAACTCAAAAAGCCTATGAAAAAGGTACCAGGGGCATCTCATGGGGCCCCCTACTGACCCCAGGCCCTCAGGCAGTGCCCAAGTTTCCAAATAGTCAGTCCGCACCTGCTGCTTACATTTCAAGAGGTGTATATAAGTACAGCAGATGGGAAGCAGTTATTAGAGACTTAAAACCAAACTAAAGTTCCGTTGTTATTCACTGTGAGGGGACAGACTTTTACTACAGAAGAGACATGCAGTAAACCTCACCTACCTATCTGTTCACAGCATTCTCTGATACGTAAACTGAGCTGCGCATGCACAACTCCGCTTACAGTGGTCAGCCCAATCCCTGTGTCCTGAGCATATGCAAGAGTGATGTCATCTTGTGCTGGCCTATGAACCAGCATATAAAAACAAGATGCAAGTGCCTTTTGTTCTGCTTTAGCACTAACAGGGGTACTTTCAGCTTTTATTTATTAAAACTTTATCCCAAAAGAAAAAATAACTATTTGCTGTTACTGCTTAAAAAGCGTTAGCTGCAGTTCAACTTTAATTTGTAAGAGTCCATCTAAATTTGCTAGTGCATCGAACTCTCTCCCCAGATTGACAATGCTGCTGTCCAAGGGTTGATCTGTTTCTTCTCCAACCAGAGTGGAGCCACCCTCTGTCAGGAAGTGTGTTACTGGAAAAATCACCAGGTGAAAAGGCCAAAAAGCTTAAAAGAGAAAACTAATGCAGCTACCACATTTAAAGTGTTATTAAACCCATGACCCTGCATTCACTGTGTCTGGTCTTCCACAGTACACAGAACATGGAAATGTAATTATTTTAGAACTGGCTACAAAAGGATACAAGTGCTAGTGTCTTAGTGGTAGAATCTACTGTTTTATCAATTTGGACTAGACAGCCTTCCTCCTTAGACAATCTGCTAATCATACTTTCCTCCAGCTATATGCTGGAACACTTATTATTAGTATGTCTTTTTATTATACTAACAGCTACTATAAAGAGGAAATGCCACAATTTTGGGTACATTAATTGTGCACTGGGAGAAGTTAAAGTAAAACTAAACCCAGGACCTGCATTCACTATATCTGGTCTCCCACAGTACATAGAACATGGAAATGCAATTATTTTAGTAAATATAAACTGCTAAATACCTTTAATCATCATCAGTTCGAGCAGTCTTGTGGCTTCTATCATGTCCAGCAGAGCACTGGTTAAAGCTTGTAGGAGGAGTTTTCCAATGAGGCTGCAGGACCCCTGACTCTCTGTCTGAACAGTACTGATTGGCCCTGTGCTGATCACATGCACCCTCTTAAGAAAAAAAAACTCTCTAGCAATATACACCAAACTGAGCATGTGCAGCTTGCCCCCAAGGCTCTGTTCTATCAGGACCCTGCATTCACTATATCTGGTCTCCCACAGTACACAGAACATGTAAATGCAATTATTTTAGTAAATATAAACTGCTAAATACCTTTTCTCATCAGCAGTTAGAGCAGTCTTGTGGCTTCTATCAGTGTCCAGCAGAGCACTAGTTTAAACGTGTAGGAGGACTTTTCCAATGAGGTTGCAGGACCCCTGACTCTCTGTCTGAACAGTACTGATTGGCCCTGTGCTGATCACATGCACCCTCTTAAGAAAAAAAAAAACATCTCTAGCAATATACACCAAACTGTGCATGTGCAGATTGCCCCCAAGGCTCTGTTCTATCAGCAGATGGATTAGGTACACTGGGAAGAAGGGGAGGGTCAAATAAGAGAGGATCAAACATTCTTTTTACACAATGTGGAGGATTAACCCCTTAGGATCCACAGTGAGTATAACAAGCATGCTTTACTGCATATACAGACTGACTGATTTTACTGTTGTGGGTTTAGTAACACTGTAAGGATTGGTAAGTTTCTATGTATTTTTTTGGTTTTTGGGTTTAGATACACGTTAAATCGTTTTTATCCTCCGAAGTGTTAACAGAATAACATTGCAAAAACCCTGTAACGGAACAGCTTCACCTTACTGCTGTTCATGCAATTCTCAGAAATACCTAAATCAATACTTTGAACAGAAAGGAGTACTTATGACCTGAATGGATAGTGTAACCACATACAAGGAGAACGAGGAAATACTATCTACAGTATATAAACTGTAAATCTTTGCTGGAACAATTTGAATATAGAGCAAGGTGTTCTCCAGATATATCTACAGAAAAAACGTTCTCAAATTGATTTTTCGGGACTGTCATAAGCTTCGACACCCTTGCTGTCACCATGTCCCTAAAACACATTCAAAATACCTACTGCAAGCAAATGCCCTGGAAATATTTAGCCTCATTTCACGGATTTCTCAGTCCTATGGTGTGCTTGAGTTGTTCAGCCTGATAAATCATGCACTGACAGGATAATTTAATAAGCACAAAATAGTGTCAATTAGTTTTCAAACAACTGCAATGATCTCATGACATGCTCTTGTGTGCTCTGTAGATGACACTGAAGATAATATGATTGCTAGTTTCAAAAACAGTAGCTAGTAATAAGAAAATTGATTCTTCCTGGTTAGTCATGATTCCTTCTGTAGTACGTGGCGCGATAAAATGGTTAAAAGTATTGGTACTGCCGCCGAGAGTCTGGGGATCACTGATAACATTTTATCTTTACATTCTAATCTATAGGGAACATGTAGGTAGACATTAGTCAATTATTCCTGGGAAAAGTATGCAAATATGTGTCTCCAAAGGAAAAAATTACATCAGTAAATATTTTTTATGATAGGCTGCCCCAAGGTGATGAGGCCCAACAGTCAAACACAACACTGTCCACAGGTTAAGGTAGAACTATCGGCAAAACTTTTTTTTTCATTTTGGATAGAGTAAGGGAGGGCTATAACCCGTTAGGTTTTTTTTTTTCGTCATCTGTGTTCCATTGCGGAGATTTCCCTTCACTTCCTGTCCCATAGCAGAAACAGGAAGTGAGAGGAAATCCCTGCAAATTAACCTCTTCACGCCACCGCTTCCTGGCTTCTGAAACTCTTAAAGGGCTGGGAGGCGGCAGCGCAAAGAGGTTAATTTGCAGGGATTTCCTCTCACTTTGTTTCCTCTCGGCCCTTTAAGAGTTTCAGAAGCCGGGAGGCGGGCGGGGTTTTAGGGTCATGTGACCGCCGTGATTCGCCGTCATGGCGGTAACATGATCGGAAAAGGTCCCGATCAAAAGGGGAGATCGGGACCGTTCCGTGAGTCGTGGACATAAGTGCTGGGAGAGCACAGATCACGTACTCTCAGCACATATGTATTTTTTAATTGCACGCAAATATACGGTTGCTCGGCGTCAAGGCACAGACACCGAGAGGCCGCATATTTGCATGTGATTGGCGTCAAGGGGTTAAGGAAATTCCTTGGGAACCCCAAGGTCACCAGAATTAATGTCCCCACTGGAAGATTTCTCCACTATTACTTTTCTGGGAACAATGGTTGAACTGGATGGACTTTTGTCTTTTTTCAGGCAGACTAACTATGTAACTCAAAATTTGGGATTTTCTTTACTTTCAATGATAATGGTAAACAGGACTGATAGAGAGGGGGTGAATCTCCTTAACAGTGGCGCAGGCAGCAATAAAAACCTGTCAGGGGTTCAAGTCTCTCTTCACTCTGTCTAAAACTTAAAAAAAAGTTTTGCCTATAGCTATAGTTTAAAAAAACTGGGTAAGACAGTTACAGAGAGACTATGGGGTACTTACCCAGCAGCCATTTTTCCTAATATAGAATCCTAATGTAATTTGTATCCAATCAGCATGCAATATTTACAGGTCTTTCTCTAAGACTTTGCCCACATAAAATTTATATTTTTTTTGTCCATTCAGAGAGAAACAGCAGGTCAGCATTGCCCAAACATACTGTAGCAGGTACTCGGATGGTCTCACCTGGCACCAGACCAGAACTGCACATTTGCAGTTCAGAGCAGATCGTTTCTGCCATATTTTTAACTGGCAACCTTTTCCTGTCATGGGTATTTACTGGTAGGAGAAAAGTGCCCATTTTTTACTGGCTGCCAGTAAAAATACTGACGGTTGTCAACACTGGATGTGCGATGTGTATACCAGGAGGCTGTGGGCATGGTGGGTTGGTCAAGGGTTACGTCATCCTCGCCTAAGTGAGTGTATATTCTAAAAATGGCAAATTATATTATAAAATAGACCATAAAGGCAGGTCGCCCTTAGTGAGGACACACGTCAAAATGATCAGTAGATCCAAATATATTGTAGATTAAGCAATATGCTGTCTAATCTTTTGTAAATCTGAGCTAGGTCATGCCCCCAATCACCTGCAAACTTTTCCATTGGTCCTGTAATATGATGTGTTCCCTCACTAACCAAAGGGAGGCTTCGGAGCTGAGAGGGTGAGCAAGTGTGATTTGTGTGAGTTAAAAGTGGTTGTAAGCCCTTACATATAGTGAAGTAACTGGTTTCAGGTGATAAAAAGAAATTAAACAAATTCTTCTACATAAGTTTTATCTGTCTATCTGCAATCGTATCTCCTGTACAGCCGTTGAAAATACAGAATGTATCAACTTTGTCAGAGCTTTAAGAAAACGGGACGGTGAGCTGAAATTACACACTGCAGAGCTCAGTGATGAGAGCTCTGACAGATGATTGGAGGTAAGAGACACACTCCCCTTCACACACAGGAACTGAGCTAAGGCTGTCAATCACAGGCTATGTGTTGGAGATCCCTCCCCGTCACCTTTTTTCTCTCTGTGTCAGGAAAACTTGTCAGAAGTGATTCATACTGATAGCAAAGGAATGAGGTTGCAGACAGAAGTGACAATTAGTTATCTGGATTGAGACACTATAGAGGAAATATACATATTTCATATCTGAGCTTTACAACCACTTTAAGAATTAGAAATTAAAGGGCCGCACACAGATGCCATCACCAGTATAAAATCAGCTTTAAATAGAGGATTCAGAACATGTAGTCTCATCTGTCCACCTCCCGCATTAATGAGTTTCACCCTACGCATTGTAGTCTTGTCTGTCCACCTCCCGCACTAATACGTTTCACCCCACAAAAGGCTTAATGATCATCATTGTTTTTACATCAGTGGTGGCACCAGTGGTGTATTTAGGTGTTGTGCTGTCCTAGGCAGCACAAAAATTGGTCACCCCCCTTCCCTGCGGAGAGAGCTGGGACACCAACCAACACAACCAGCCCCCCACGGAGAGAGACTGACATTGACCAACAACACCCCTGTCCTCCCACCCAAGAGAGCCTTCCACTACCATGAACCCCATACACCAGCCCCCCCCCCCCCCCTCCCGGCAAGAGAGAGAAGGACACTCACTTTCACAACTCTGGACATCCCTGGGAACGAGAGTCGGGCTCTACATACACCATTAAGCAGTCCACAGTCTCTCTCGGTTTCCACCTAGTCCCCATGCCGCATGTGTCCCTTCTTCCATCTTTTCTTCCAGGGGGCCACGCTGCCCCCCCTGAAAAATGCCGCCCTAGGCAAATGCCTTGTTTTCGTTGTGGTTAATACGCCCCTGGCTGGCACTTGACAAGTGGAAAAGCTAAGTGGCGATGTGCTCCTGGGTGTGCACCTGATGGGAGCTGGTATAGGGAAGGAGGCAGGTTTGGAGCAGCATACCTACTATCGATTCCACAAACTGTGTGAGTTAAGACTTGCATATACATTTAGCTGTCTATATCTCTGGATGTATTCATGTTGTCATGCAGTTTTCACAACAGGCAATGTCTGCTTATGCAGTTTTTCAATACGCTCAGTTTGAATTACACAGGATAAGATATGTCTAAAAGGGATGGCAGTCTGTGTGCCGGTAACCTATCATCAATGAGACAATAAAACAGGTTCCCACTTGGAAAAGAAGTTAACACAGGTGCAGCGAATAAGGAGTGAGAATAAATAGCATGTCCAGTGTATAAGCCCTATTTCTGGCTTTGTTGCACCTGCAGAAAAAATTTCCTGCAGTGTATCATCGAGTAAAGAATTTGGCTGTACAAAAAAGCAGAAACAAAATTACTCCTCAGTACAAGATTGTTGGAAGTCTTCACATAATTGTGGTTGGTGCAACAACATCACAGAACAATGTCACCTATTCTGCCAAGTTTGTAGTGACAAAACTACTGAAGGTTTGACTATTCACCTTGCAAGTGGAATTGCACTTTGCAAGGGAAATGTCCCCTGAGCTTAGTAAATGAGGTTGAGCTGACTTCCATCATCCAATCATGTGCAAGCAAAATGCCTGTTTTTTTTTATTATCCTTGCACTTGATTGGGTATTTGCATAGTAAAATGTCACCACATTCACTTTAATCTGGGGAAATTCCCTTGCAAAGTGCAGCTTCCCTTCCAACATGAACAGCCTATTTGCCTTTAGTAAATTAACCCGTGTCTGGTACATGCAAGCTAAATAGGTTAGGGACTGATGTGAATGAACAATGTATATGTAAAGCGCTGCGTAAAATGCCGGCACTATTTAAGTACCTGAAATAAATAAATAGATGGAGGCATGCTTACAGCAAAGTTTCTTTCAACACTAGTTTATTCTAATAACATTAGTATTCTAGACACCAGCATATTCTCCTAGCACTAGATACAGTCTAGCATTAAAAAAACCTAATAAGGAATATACTAAAAATTCACACTGTTCCAAGTGCATTGCAGCACAAGTGTAGGTGTGAATGGGCCCCTACATTTCATTGTTTGCACTAAAGAAAAACTTGATTAATTAAAAAATTTATTTAACTGCATGATAATGGAAA